ACAAATATGAAAATAATCAGGTTGAAGTCATACACAGGGAGTCCACACCAGGAGCAAAACCAGCATGACACACCTACCACACTCCTCAGAGCTGGGGGACCTGGGCTGTCCTTGTGGTAAAAAGCAGCTACACATACAGATAAAAATGTTTCTGGCCAAAAACAAGCTTGCTGAAGCAGACACCCACTTTGAATTCATGGTTATAGTGAAAAGGAACATCACAATCTTCTAGGCAGAACTGAAAATTCAACCATGATGACAGTGTATTTGTATGCATCACCAGTTTGGGTGGAACATTGGCACCATCAGCTTCCTAAAGCCCCTGGATGTAGAGCAGAGTGCAGACAGCTCTCTGAAGAAAAGCTTAACAGAGGAAACTCATCCAGCCTTTCTTATCTATGCTTTACTGCTAATTGTAGTTATTTTCTGTCTCCAAGTCTGTGCTAATGGACTTGTCCATGCAGCCCGAATATGCCAGGGGACAGATCATCTGCTCCTGGACTGACCAGTTTTAGCACCCCCTGGCACTGCATGTGGAGCATCTGCATGCACCTCCACAAATGAGTATCAAAAAGTGAACAACCACATTTCCCAAGGCAGCTTTAAGCTCACCCAGATCGATGAAGAGAAGGTTTCTCCCAAGCCTGAGCCCTGAGAAGGTATCAGCAGCCTCAGGAGACAGCACTCAGTTGTGGGGTGGGGAGAGCCATTTACAGAAACACTCTGCACCTTCAACCACTTCTACACATTGGACACAAAAGAGATTTTAATTCCTCTTTCGCCTCCTTTGTAACATATTATAACTTTGAAACCTAGCAGGCTGATGGACAAGGATGCTTAGTAGAGGCAAACACAATTCTGCATCAGATGGAATGGAGAAGAGCTACTGTTCACTAGTACTTTAATTATTCCGTTTCTTCATCTTTCTTCCCTTTAGCTAAGGCAAAAGAACTGAATGTCCTCCCCTATAGCCACATTAGAGGTATGATTTATTATTATTATTTTTAATAGCAATATCTATTTTAACATCTCTTCATCCTTCCTTTTCCGTATTCCATTCCTTTTGTTTTGTTGTTAGCGCAAATGGGATCCAGGCTTAAAAAGAGAATTTCCCCCTCCCCCGAGTTCTGGCTGATGTCTTTCATCTGATCCCACTGACATAACTGAGGACAGAGGCAACAGAGGCTGTATCTCCACAAAAGCCTGAGGAATAAAAGAAAGGAAGGAAATATCTCAGGAGGGACTTCCAAATGTCATTTCACACATTCTCCAGCAAAACCTGAGAGGTCATTTGAGGCATTTTCAGAGAGATGAGAAACATTGCGCCTGTTTTTTCAGACTCTACGTATGCTGCACACCTAATTATTTTTCAAGTCTTAATCATACTTACGGATAATCCCAAGAGATATCTCTAAACCAAAAAATAAAACTGAGAAAAAGCAGGTTCAGCCAAGCAAGCACACCAGTTCAGCTAAGCGTGCCAGTTTTTAAAAGGCATCAAATTCAGACCTTGCCCTCCTTAATTAAAAGCTTTGCTTTGCCTTGCCAAGGGAGAAATCTGACAGCCATTAACTACCCTGCTCCAGAAATAATCCTGCACACAGCAGACATACCGAACAGTAGCACTGAGCTACTGTAACACATCTTGAGAAGATATTTCCTCCTGGCATTTCAGTACAAGGTTGCATTCCCATCCCCAATAACAAGAGTCTCTCCTTTCCCCTCTCAATTCCCACCACCTCCAGCCCTTCCCAGATGTCATCCTCAGGGCTGTGTTGGTACAGATGTTCCCACAGCCACGAGGCAAACCCTTGTGCTGCTCTGATCAGCCTGAAGGATAACACAGCAGGGGAGGGAAAAAGTGACTGTGATCTGGTTCAGCATGAGGCCATGGGAACAGCTGTGTGAGCAGGAGTGGTGTGTGCACCCCAGCACAGATCAGGTCTCCATTGCCTGGGGCAGCTCACTGATACCAGGCTGGACAAATGTCACCCTGTCCTTCCCTCCACCTTTCCTCACCTCCACCCTGTGCCCTCATGTTGCTTTGCCCCCATCTGACTCCATGCTGAGCTTGCCAAGCCAACTGTGCCAAAAAAGCAGTTTTCTGTCTGTTTGCCTTTCTTGATCGACTGGCCACTTTCTTGAGCCTCCTGGCCAGGTTAGACCTGAGTCTGGAGCCACCATGTCACACCCATGTGCCTACCACACACCACAATCCCTCTGTGTGCAGGGGCAACAGCACAGCCTGTGCTCAGGGACACCGGGAGACTCCCTGCTTGAAACTGAGGATAGTTTTCCGCCTCCTCTCACTGTTTACAACCAGTTCCTGTCTAGCCTGGCCAACAGAAGAATCTTATTTGGATTCAGGTAGAGCTCTGTATCTGGCAAACACACCACAGTGCCAATTCTCATCTTTTCCAAGCTAAATAGCGAGGATGGAACAAGGTATCAAAGTAGAAAATCCATGCATGCCTCTGGCACTGTGAAAACTCTGCTCTGCTTTCCCAACATCAAATATTGCCTGACTTTACGTATTTGAGGATTTACCACTAATCCATTCCTCAAAACTTACACAACACTGAAACAAATCACACGACAATCAGTGGATGAGTGAAAGCATAGATGCCATCCCATACACACACTGCACACTTCAGCTCTCCAAGAGCTGGTTCTGCACAAAACAGTTGGACACAGACCATGCCGTCAAGCAGAGCCAGAGTTTCATGATGTATCTTGCACACAAAGCACATCATACACAACCTGAGTTTCCAATTTTGCTTTGTCAAGAGAAGGAACATTTCTAACCCTTCTGGCTGTGATGACATCCTTAGAAACACAAACTTTGATATCTGCTCGAGCCCATGACTGTTGTAAATGGTGACTCATGCATGAATTCCCAGTACCCATTAATCTCAAAGCCTAAGCACTTATGCAGCAATAATGGTGTTTTAATGTCCTGGCAAAAATGGGGAAAAAAAGGTTAGCAGAATTTGGGAGTGACTGTCAGGAAATGAAGATAAAGACCAGGTTTGGAGGACAGCAAGAACAAGGATGGGACAGGAAAAAAGAAGTCAGAAGTTATGAAGCACAACTCTCCAAGTCAAATGTGAGTTCAGCTACCACCTGTTTCCAAAAGGCAGATTTTCCCACTCATCTCCATGCAATATCCCTCAAAACAATGGCAGGTCTGTGACTGAATAAATACAAAACCTTCCTACATTACACACCCAGCCAGAGTCCTCAGTAAAACCACAGTGGGCTTCAAACCCTCTCAAACCCACAAGTTCAAGATGTAAGTTCAGCCCCTGGTGTAAGGGGCAGAAGGGAACACTAACACTACCTCCTCACCAGCAGCTACCTCCAGAATATTTCAATACTTCTGTCAGCTCTGTCAAACTGACTACAGCCCTAATGCTTACAAGAAAACTGTCCAGCTCCCTGTTAGGCAACTGACCAACAATAGCTAGTTTTTCTTGAAGAAAGGTCCTCCTTGGACAAAACGGGAAGCATTTTATTTCTGCTGTCTCCAGCTTGATTAAGCCACTGCTTCGGATTTTTTCCAGCTACGTGAGTGAAGAGATTTTGATCTCATCCAAAACCAAAGAGCAATCAGGCTTACACTTTGTAACCTCTTGCTCCACTTCCCAAATACCAGAGGAGCACCAACATCAACCCCTCCTGGCCAGGTAGGCGTTGAGTGTAGTGCCACCACATCACACCCACTGCTACATGCCACATTCCTCTCTGCATCCCAACACCCAAACCACAGCTTTCCAACCCCTTAGACTACTTGGCAGCACTCAGCTAAAATGTACATTTTAGTCAGACACCTTTTGAAAGTTTTATTCCATTTTTATCTTGCATAATTCATTGAAGTGGACAAATGAATGTGGACATAGTCTCAAGCTGCACCAGGGGAGGTTTAGGTTGGAATTTCTTCACAGAAAGGGTGATCAGACACTGGAATGGACTGGCCAGGGAGGTGTGGCAGTCACCATTCCTGGAGTTGTTTAACGGAAGACTGGATGTGGCACTTAGTGTCAGAGTCACCATTCCTGGAGTTGTTTAAGGGAAGACTGGATGTGGCACTTAGTGTCATGGTGTAGTTGACATGGTGGTGTTAGGTCATAGGTTGGACTTGACCTCAGAGCTCTTCTCCAGCCTGTGGCTCTCTGAAGTGACAGGATATTTACAAATACCTGGTTTTAAATATGGTATAAATGGTCCAAATGTTCTCAAACTCACTAACTGTTTTCAGTAATAAAGCAAACTGAGCTAGACCATGTAATTTGGCATTATAGTAACAGTAATAGTCCAACTGTTGGTCAGTCTGACAGAAATAGATGTCTTTCAGGAATCTTTCAGTATTTTTGAATATTGAATCAGAATCACAGAATCATAGAATTTAGGGGCTTGGAATGGACCTTAGAGATCATCTAGTCCCAATCCCCTGCCCTGGGCAGGGACACCTCCTCACTAGATCAGGTTGCTCAAGGCTTCATCCAACCTGGCTGTGCACACTGCCAGGGTTGGGGCAGTTCTAATTTTCTGAGGGATGAAGAAACAAAAGTAATAAAGTAAAAAAATCATTTGGAAACACTGCTCCTCCTGTATGTCAGAATGGTTCTCATGCACACACTGCAATAATCCTGTATGTTGGCTTGCAGTGGTTCACACAAATTCATTGATCTGTACAATTCACTAAACAACAAATTAGTTGAGGGATAGTGAGCACCAACATACCCAGATGATACCAAGCCCAGCAGCTTGAGGCATATACTAAGACTTTACCCCTGCAGAGTGATAAATCATTTACACAAGTGAAGCATTTGAAAGGGAGAACTGCTAATTAATGCCTACATCCAGATAAACTGCAGAGGAAGAATCTGACATGTGCAAACAGCCACTTCTGCTTATTTAAGCCGATGAGTCACACGATTAATTGCCACACTTTACATTGTTCAGATAAGGTGTAAAGGTACAAACAAGGAAGAACATACCAGGACTCTCTACCCGCTTGTAGTGGTAGGGGTTGATGCAAACCTCCTTCTGTTTCGAACCAAAGGGAAACTCACAGCATTCCAGTGGTTTCAGTTCGTGGTGGCTCTGCAGGTCTGGCCAGCGCCACACTCTGCAGTAAATCACATGTGGGAGCCCCTTGCGGTGCGAAACCTGGAGCCTCCCGTCCAAGGAACGAGGGATTGTCACACAGCTGCTGGGCTGACCGGGACAGCTTAATGCTTTTTCTAGCTCCTCCATTGCACCTTTCTTCTTCTTCAGTTTTTTCACTAATGCATCAACAGCTTTTTCTGCCCATTTTTCTTCTTCATCCCCCTGCTTCCATCCCAACAGCCTCTTCACTGCTGGGCTGGTGAAGGAGAATAAACTTGTCACGTTCATGGTGACCCCACGGTGGTGATACCACGAAACCAAGCAGGAGGGACTGTCCTGGTCTTCCACCACCACCAGGGTACAGCAGGTTGTGTCAATAGTCAAAAGCAGCCTGTATCAAATAATTCTGGTCCTTTCTGCTTTTCAATCCTCCAGTCCCAGGAAGGCAGCACTGACATCCTCCCTTGATGGACACGACCTTCTCATTATTCTAAATCTTTCTGGCTGACGACCTACAGGAGAGTATCAGAGGGAGAGAAAAAAAGGACTTTACCTTTCAAGTTAACATACAGCTGTTAAACATACAGCCCCCACCCCACCCCTTGGAGTGCTGTGACCAAAATCTAACCAACAACAAAACAGCCTCCAGAATTGCACTCAAGGCACATCTGATGAAGACTTAAGCAGCATGGCCTGCTGCTGAA